TCCAGCACATTCACGCGGACTCTCCCGGTCGTCTCCTCTCCACCTCCGTCCCTCGCCAACACGGTTAGCGTGAAGCGTCGCATCAATTCGTAGTCCAGACTGGCCCGTAAAATGACCCAGCCCGTCTCTTCATCTAAAGAAAAACTGAAGGAAGAAAACAATGCTTTTAAGAGACGTCTCTGTCTACTTGTAATCAGTGAGTTAATGTGAACATGCAGTCAACATGTTTTTTGTATTTCTTTTATGTTTGCAACTGAATTGTGATTTTTTAAAATCTGTACGCACTAAAACAGAAGACCCAGTGAATTGAGTTGTTATGTGCAGTACATGCAGATTCATCATTGCATGTGGTTCAGTAACTCTGTGGCCTGAGGAGAGCAGATGTCTCTGGCCAGCCTGTGTCACACACAGAGTGCAGTGTAATCGCTCATGAGAGACCATATAAATGAAAAATTAATGTAGCTTTATTTCTATGTAGTCTGTACCGGAGTGTGTGTGTGTGTGTGTGACTTGGTCTTACTGATCTGGCTCGTCGCTGAAGTAGTAACGCACAATCCCAAACGAGCCTACATCTCCATCTGTAGCCTGAAGGAAAAAAAAAAATCAAAGAGAAAAAAAGTTCACTAATGACATATTTTTTAATAGTAAACATTGTTTGTAACTAATTATTTGTTACTAATTATAATTACTATTTATTTTATGTGTTTCTGGCCCTTTGTGGGTCACTTTTGGAATGCTTTGATTTGGAGTTCTACACACCAATTCAAGTCGCTGTTCTGTTGAGAGAGTGATCCTTATTTTCGATGTGTTCCTGACTTGTTCAAATGCTCCTGTTTTAGAAGAAGTTCACGCTGTGCTGTGACTGTTACTGTTATCACAAACACAACATGCTACGGACAACTTTCTGTGATCTCCTTCACAACGAGCCGATTATCCAATAATCAGAGGATAGACACAGATTATGTTGTTGTTTAATTTTGAGGTACAGTGGAGTGGTGGCATTTTTAGTGTCGGAAAATTGATCTGCTTATTATTTATGATTATTATAGATATTTTGTTTTTGTTAAGAATGCAGTCCATACACAACTGATTTTTTTAGAACATTTTTCTTGATTTTTCTGTACACATAAAATGTAACAGAAAATAAAATTACACGACCTTATTCCTGAAGGACCATTTTTTCCTCTGTATTTGAAAATACATTATACATTTTTGCAGAGTAGGGAACAAGCTGTGATATACAGGCCCTGGTTATCTACAACTCTTAAGTAGCAGGTGGCAAACAGTGTATATGGGAAATAAAATATGAAGGACAAAGAAGTGAATAATTGTATAAATTTACCAGAAGACCAGGGAGCACACAGAAAAAAGTATTCAGTACAGGTGAAGTATTTGGTTTAAGGCCAGCAGCAGAGTAAATCACAGAAGAGCTCTGTTATAATTCAGGGCTAAATTTCCACTGCAGCTAATTTCTCATTAAAAATCTAATTATTAACTATATTCCAATGGTTATGGCTCTATTTAAATTAAAATTGTTTAAATGTAAGTTTCAATAATTGTCTCAAACAATTGAAATCACTTTTTTTGGGTTAAAAATCAATCAAATGATTGAAACTCAATTTGCTAACATCAAGAACACAAAAAAGCACATCAGATCATTAATAGCCACTGCATTAAGTTTAGTTTAGAACTTCTTCACTTGAACAGATGCAAATGACTGTATGATTTTATAATAATAAATGCAAACCACTTTGACTGCCTCTAGGTGTTGACAGGATTTAATCTTAGACGAGATCTACATTCACCCATATGACCCTGCAGTGCCTCAAATCACCAGCAACTGCTGACATGTGTTTGGCTGACATGAAGGGTGTCGGAGAAAAGCCATTTAAAGAACAACACTCCCAGGAAAGTTCTACTCTATGAACTTGCGCATTAACACTTCTTGTCTTTGTGAACTTGTGCACGTGCGCTGATGCAGACAGGCATGCTGTTGTGTCATAGTTGATGGATCAGCCGGCAGAGGCCTTTGTAATAGAGTTTCACCTGACTGGCTCCACAGTCAGTTCAAGGGCCAAACTTTAGCCCTTTAGTCTGCAGCCTACTCTGTCAAACACATACAGGTACTGTTATTCTGACATTTCCTGATCCTCACCTCATGAGGTATGTCTCTCTGTGCAAATATGACACTCAAAATACTAGATTATGACAAGTATTTTTGTTGTTGTTGTATAAAAGAGGTCATATTAAGGCATTTGTCTGTTTCCTCTTCTTGATGTTGCACTTTTTTGAGACTATGTAAAAAAATGTACCCCATACAGGAGTGGATTTAATCAATTTCTAAATTTGATAATATTTAATAAAACAATAAAATCTAAAAATGTAATGTAAATGTTTTTAAATTCATTTTAAGCCTCCCAAATGAAATGCATTGATGGACGTGTGTGTGTGTGCGTGCATCTGTGATTGTTAGTTGCCTCTCAACAGATGGAACAACGGCTGCAGCCATCAATGTGTTTTTCTTTTTTTTTCCACCCTTCTAAAAATTACACCATGCTGTTAGCTCACACTCGTAATTTCCCGTAGAGTTTCCACCACAACAGTCTGGATAGTGAATGAGTGGTACTTTTTAGTGTCCAAATAGCCTTCACTTTTTTGTTTGGCACACCCTCCTCACTGAGACTGAGCGAGACTGGGACATTAGGGACCGCGAGTCCTTATATTAACCTTAGAGATTTCATGTGGAGTGTCTTCATATTCTCATCTTTTTAAGACACTTTACTGCTGATTCCCCTAT